TCAACTTATAGTTCAACATAATTATGTTTAATAGTCGATATAGTACAGTACATATCTAGAAAGGAAGACCGGTTTGAAGGAACTATTACAAGATTATTATTATTATATTTTTCTGTGAAAAGGGGGAATATGAGAGAAACTTCGTACAAATTTACTTTCACAATTGTTTGACACTGATCGTTAAAAGCAAGGTCAGTATTTTCCACGTAATGGCTATTCAAGTGTAACCACCATTTTATTCGTCTGCAAACAAGTCGAGATACATTCGATTACATTCTGAAACAGTTAAAATTGTTTTATTTCATTGTAAATTATTAACAAGAACGCTTATAGAAAAGATGATAAATTAATCATTTTCACTCAACATGCATTTAGATATTTCAAAAAATCAATTTCTTCTTTACACATTTTTAACACAATATTGTTTAGAATGTTCTTGCAAAATTTATAATGAAAATTTGTAAAAATGTTCGGTATGTGAGGAATGTCTTCATACGTGTTTATAAAATTGCAAGAATGAAAGGAGGATATCGTCAAACTTGAATAAAAATATATTTTATGGGTTTAAAATTGATGATCTATGATAAGATGGAAAATTGTTAATAATCAATAGTAATACAATAATTGATAATATTAATTAGTAATACTACTACAATAATATTTTCCATTTTGTATTTGTTTTTATTACTAACGTATTATTCGTTGTTTAATGAATTCACTGTTACGAGTGAAAACATTTGGTCTATAATTGCTTCCTTTAATTAAGTAGAATTTCATACATTTGACTGATTTAACAATCGAAATCTTTATGAATGAGATTCTTGTTAGGTATACTATGTAAATGAAGTAAAAATATTGTAAAGGATGCAGGGTTCATGAGATTAAATTAATGGAACTATGTCACATAGATACTCTTTTCAGTATGTTTTGTAACATTCATTCACGAATATATTCACCATTCTTTTCACTACGTTTTGTAATATTCATTCGCATGAAAACAAAAGCTGTAGTGGCATTTATTCATAAAAGAAATATATATATATATATATAAATGATAAATTTTTCATATTGAAATTATGTTAAGGTATTCATACTACATATTTAATGCAATTAAAATAATTATATGTATATTCAACATCATTTTTAAACACATATAACAGAGAAATAAAATATTAATATTAATTAAGTATTGATGGAGATTTGGATAATATCACGTTTAATTTTATGTTAATAGATTTTTATGTTTGTATATATAATTATATATTTACACCTGTGAAAACAGATATACAAATGTATGTATAATTCTATATAGAAAATCACATATAATTTTGAACGGAAAAAACAGATAAAAAAAAATATAATATAATAATCAAAAGTAGAAAAAGAGAAATGCACAAATTTTTAGTTAAATCGTGCCAAATAGGCAGTATATTACGAACATATTCTTCTACAAAAATTAATAACGTTTGAATGACACATGTTTCAAAATGAGAGCTCGCGAGATCTGTGTTGCTAATGAGTGCATTTGCAACTCGTACTGAAAAGGTTGAATAGCTGATGACTGAACATTAGGAATGCGAATGCTTGTAGAACTAATAGGAAATAATAAAGTGCTGATGAGAGAAACTTCTAGCTAATAATAAGAATTTAAATTTTAGATGAATGAGATGTGTCTGTATAATTTGTAATACTAAATATTTATATATTTATTTAAAAGGTTATTTCAGTAAACTATTTAATAAAAATAAATTAAATAAACTAAATTCTAAATAAGATAAATATAGATTTAAATCATACCTACTTTCGCTCGTATAATTTAATAAGAAGGTTTGTATAATTTAATAAAAAGTCATCGTTAATCTTCATGAAATTGCATAATAAATTTATATAATGTTTACTATATTCTTTTTATCAGTCTGAGAACTTTATTGTCATATTGTATACATATTATATAACTTTGTTAAAACATGCAAGTGTAAAATGATAGTTGTGTAATAACGTTGTTTTATACAATTTTTAGTATAGAGTTTTATTTGGTATGGAATTTTATTCAAGGTAGAACGACCTACTTTGTAAAACTATTTAAACATTATACGAGTGACAGCATAGAAAATAGTAAACTTGTTCGAAGTTACATTCTTTATTCAAAAATTGTTAAAAAATTAATAATTTCAATTGTAAATTTTCAGAAACTGTTTTTAACGGTGTAGTAATGTTATCTTAATTCTATATCAGCATATTATGGAAGCAAACATAAATTGGAAGTAACTGATTATTCGAGGGCAAAACGAAAAAAATTCAAATCATGAACGTTCAAAGAATCTTAATGTTACAACCATTGCTATTTCATTATTACTATCACAACATCAGCTTTTCACTTGTCCAAAATGATCTTGTACTTAATATAATTATTTATTAAACAAATATTATTATAGTAAACAATATTTATTAATTATTAACTTATTATATTCAGTTATACTTTGTGATATTAAACATTCGCCTCACAAGCAATAAGTTATTACATGTAACTATTGCTTATAAAATTACGAGAAATATTTGTTCATGGTACATTGAATATGAATGTCAATTCAAGTGAAACGAAGCAAATTTAATTAGGGGGAAATAAGTTAACATTATGTATATCTCTGTGAACTTGATAATTTTTGCTCTACATATATTAGTTTGTAACAAAACAAGTTAGTATTGCATAATAAATGAGTATAAAAATTAGCACATATCAGCGTCGTAGAACCACCTGAATTAATAATAAATCTAATAATCTAAATACTAATTATATTCAGAAGTTTAAATTAGTAATAACTTTCAGTTCCTTTTACGTTGTTTCAGTTGCTCAAATTTTTGGCTAAACTGATTTATCGTATTATTATAAAATACAATATACATCATATTAGTTTGTAAATTCTTCACAATTCATTTTTTTGTTATTTATTTGTTATTATTTAATAATATATGTATAAATCGTTATTAGAAAATTAGAAAATTGTTCACACTGTATCTTCATGCAGATTGATGGCAAGTGAAAGAATATGTAAAAATTAATATGACATGACATACAGAATACAAATTATACACCATCTGCACGTGAAAATAGTGTTGCTAATATTGCCGTTAACCTAGTCTTTTCCTTTAAATTAACAATGATGAAAGGTTTTATTAAAGACGTCGAAAGTGAATCTCGTGGGAAAAGTTTCTCAAGAGCGCGTAACTTTCTCTGCGTTAGACTGCTTTCCCAACTCCTTTCCGCCTTCAGACTATGCATTCTCAGTCAAGCAGAACGACATAAAAGTCACCTGCGAATTCGTCTTCCGCAATTCTATTGAATCGCATTCGAAGTAGGTCAGATAATTTTATCTATTTTCTTATAGTTATATGAAATATTATTAAAAAGACCACCAAGTTGTTATCAGATAACTTATTCAATTTTTATTTGAAATAAATGCGAATAAGTGAAATAATTGTATATTTTTCACGAAAACTACAAATCTCTTAAAGTGGTATGGAACATGAGTTACAAATATATATTCTCATATTACGATTACTGTCATTTAATTATCCAGTTAATTGTTAAAAGTGTACAGATATATCGTACGTGTACAAATATGCTCTTTTTTCTGGACATAGATAATTGAAATGTAACTATTTTTATATGAATTATTTTTTAATCATTATAGCTTAAGTATTTAGTTCAAATATTTCGAATGGACTAACAAATAGACAAATGTTGAAGTCTTTGAAGAAAAAATATACTTCAATCGATCATAATACCTTAAACACGATAATACATTTTCCAGACTTAACACAATGTACTTTCATTCATAAATTTACATTATGGTTGCCCACAAAATAATTAAAGTTAGATAATAGATCAAAGAAGGAGATTTCAGATATTGCATTTGAGTACTATCGAACCTCTGCATTTTTCAGGTATATACAAACTCAGAGCATTATGTTTTAGAAGATGTTTAGGAAAACGTAAAAGTACAGTGATAATAGCAGAAAAGTAGAAGTATATTTTTAATAGAAAATCATTTTTAAGCTTTTAAGTTTAAAAAGATAGTTTTGTTCTATTTATTTATTTTTAAATTGTACAATTTAGGTATTGATTTATTCAGAAACGTAGCTTCGTATGAGAAAATATTGCTCTATATTTTTGTCCTATTTTTTCAAGAAAAATTATGCTCTTTCCTGTTACATCACTGATTTCAGTCGCTTTTTGTATGATCAGCACCGTGCAGAAATTTTAGACTAGACGTGCTATAGATTTTGCAATGCCAATCATACATACTTTTGGGAGGCGCTTTCAAATGTTATTACATATACCTTTCTCCGCGGTTCTCATTGCAGTTTCAACTGGTTCGCATATTTTCTGCATGTTCCGGAGTAAATACAGTTTTGATATTTATGATTATTACGAAATATTATAAAATTTGTATAGTATGAGGTAAAACGCGAAAAGAAAACAGTTATAAGGGTGAAAAGTTATATTATTGAAAGAATAAGAAGGGATTATATATATATCTTATAATCTATTGTAATATGTAATACTGTTATTATATGTACATAATGTTATAATATATACATAACTAATATAGAAGTAATACTATAACACGTATGTTATAATCTATTATTATCACTGTCGTTGTTGTTATTATTATTATTATTTAATAATATTATTATACAATAATGTATATATATATTATAATATTATGTTATAAAAATTATATTAAAAATATTATATTACTCTAATGGATTATAATAATTATTTATTTTCGTAATTATCAACGTACACATTGTTTACTATATATGTACTATTAACTTCTTTACATGCAGTAATTAAAAAGTTATTAAAATTGTTAAAATTATTAAAATTATTAAAAACTAACAATGCAATTAAATTATTTGTTTATATTTTAGTATAGTATCGTATATGTGTACAATACTTATTTTTATATGAACTTGCAATGATTTGCATTTTGCAGGTCTTTTAGCGGTTTCCGTAGGTGAGGAGACGGTTTCAAATACGGTAGAAAAAGCGAAAACCTCCTCTGACAATGCACGCGACATTGTTATGTTGGAAATCGATGTCAAGGAACCTGTGAAGAGATCCCCGATTTCAGCCAGTGCCGAATATGGTGCTCCATCCAATCAGTACATTCTTCAATCAGCAGATGGTAGCCAAGAGGTAGCAATTAACTGTCAATAACTTATATTTCTAGCACAACTTCTATATGCTATTATCTACAGTCCACATCACTCACAATAACTTCTAAGTCAATAAATCAATAGTGTCATATTACTATATAGGGTGTTCCACAGTTACAGAACAAACGAACGGAAAATGGGATAATAAAAAAAACATTTTTATCTTGTCAAATTTACCACTTTATATTCGGTAGTTCTTTCCCGTTAGGAGCTCTTCCG